GGGTTAGTGACACGCCTAATCGTCCCATAGCGTTCGAGAATGATCCTGGATCAGGAGGGAGGAAGTTGCGTTCCTTGGAGTCCTAATAATTCGATTGAAAAATGTCTCTTCGCTGTTTAAGGGGTTTAAACTAATTTGGACCGGTTGAAAAAATCAGGACGATCACTCGTGCACTCTCGTTGATAAGTATCGAATGTGAAGCAAATCTGAACAGTTGTTACAAAATTATTGAGATCAGTCTGGAATCTCGAGTATATCGCCATTAAGCGAAAACCATTGGAAATTTGAAAAATCTACTCAAACTATCGTATTGCGTATAAAACGTTCTGAAACTTTGTCCTCTTTCATTTTTCCCACAAATCTATTATTTACTAGAAAAACGATAGAAAATAATAACGTGAACACTCTGTATATTTTTACTAATATACGAGCCACTCAGAAGCCAAAGTGGCTAACTCCGTCAAATTGGGTTTATTAAATTTCTTTTATTTGTGAAGAGTTAAGCAGCAAGCATGTGCTTTGATACTAAAATTGTAAGAATTTCAAAAAGTCGAGTTAATCATTTTGGCTTCAGAGTGGCTCGTGTGATACTAACTTTGACGAAGAAATGTCATTTAAATGGTATAATACTTTCTTGTACGGATGTAATAGATGTCATAATACTTATAAATGGCAGTGTCACATTTGCACAACGTGTCTCGTTGCTACGTTTACCCTTCCTTTGCATGGATCACGGCGCCACCGCCTACGCAACGATCACGGCGTGCCAATTAATGGCATCGTGAGGATCGTTTAGCATAGCCCTTAAGTTAACCGCTGTTAAAGACAATGCAGTGTGACGAGATCGCCTGGAATCTCGTGGAAAGAGCTTTCAGAGGATTATCGCGACGCCCACGAGACACGATTCGCCATCGACGCGATTTTCCGGCCATTTTTCAGACGCTCGAGAGCCTCCTTACGACGAAGAGGAGACATTGGTCGAGGATTAGAGTATTTCTGACCAATTTTGGGGGAATTTAAATATTTGGAAATTTGCAATATTAGTTTAATGGTGGAAATTGGAAATTTGGGTGAATTAACGAAATAGAATGATTTTTTAAATATCTTTGGAGAATTGTGACCTTTGCTGGGAAATTTGGAATGTTGATTAGTGATTTTTGGACATTTTTCTGACGCTCTCAAGGTTTATTGCGAGGAAGAAGAGACATTGGTCGAGGATTAGAGTATTTCTGACCAATTTTCTGAGGATTTTCAATATTTGAAAATTTGCAATATTAGTTTAATGGTGGAAATTGGAAATTTGGGTGAATTAACGAAGTACAATAATTTTTTTTGAAAATCTTTGGACTGTTGCCATTTCTCCATTCCAAAAAAGACATTATTCATTCTACAAAGATAGACATATTAAAAAATTCCTCTTATTATAATTAACTGCAGAAATCGACGAAAGTTGAATTTAAATAAAAAAAGAAAGGAAAATCACATATTACTGCTTCAACGCTTGTTGCAAAAATTTCGAAGAATTTCAATTTAGATCTCTAATTAGCCTCTCGAATACCTGAAAATAAGGACATAAACGATAAGGTGCAAGGTTTCTCCGCGTGATTCGCCGTGGAATGTCTCAATAACGAGGCAAACTTGAAATCGAAGAATTTTGTAACTCGAGCTCGAAATGTTGGAAAAATATAAACGAGAAAAGAACCTACATGCGTGGTCGAAGGCGAACGTGCATGACGCCAGAGAGATCTCTATTATGCAAAATGGTATTGTTTGTCGTCGAATTTCACGTCGAATCACGCAATCACCTTTTTTGACACGGCGGACTTTAATGCAGACAGGTTCTTTGCCGATTTCGTTTGTCTCGTGTCCTATATGTTGCCTAATTTTTTTTTTACAGAAAGGCGGGGTCTTTCGATTCGTACCTATTACGTGGGAAGTTTTATGTAACCGTGGATCATTTTATGTAACAACAACGCATATTTTACGTGGACTTTTAATCGAAGAAAAATTGGTGCAAATGCAAAAAAATTCTACGATCGTGTAAATTTTACGTAACTCAAAATTTAAGGAAACTAGAGATGCTGAAAAATTCGACGTTTCTTGTCAAGCAAAATTCTATATAATTCAGAACAATTTTATAACTGTGGAGAATATAATGTAAATAATTCTAAGGGTAAACGTTGAATCAGTTTCCTGCAGGTTCAATTCCTTCTCTTTTTAAATAATTCTTGGACGGTATGTATTACACTGAGTTAGAAAATGAAGATGTGCGCGATATGTGCAACGAAAAATACACTACGAATCTCATTAAACACGTGAAACTGCCGAGTCAAAATGACCAATTAACGACTTTCCACAAGTGGATTTTTGTGCAAGTAAACCGTGATTGGAAAATTCGATTCATATCGACACAAATAGAAGCACACACGTAGAAAATAAATTCGGAATGTTACAAACGATAATACTTACCCGTATCGAACATTCGCGTTTTTTCGAAAAATGCTAATGGATCATTTCGACCCGATCGATAGTTCTAGCGTTAATGGCTATTCAGACACAAGGGAAAACTTCGAACATTCCGAATAGTAATTAACATTTGCAGATTTTTCTTTTCACCTGTGAATGAAATTGTCATTCTTTTATTCTGCAGAAATCAAAAGCAGAGGACAACGTACGACCTTAAGTTCGGAGACATCAATCGGTCCTGCAGTTCGAGGATTTAATTTATCTATTAGTAAGTTCGTGTCGAATTTTATAATTTCGATCAACATCTCCAACGGATCTTTAAATTTGATAGGAAAAACGTAAGCGCCCTCCCATTCCACAACTTTTTCTTATTTTTTTTTTTTTAGCAAGACCATTGTGTCGCCGCTACAGAATTTCCTTGGATTTTCATTAAAATATTTTTCGCTTTCGGCACGAACTTATGGAATGACCTAATATTTAGGATTTAACTTACCGGTTTCTACTTTCCGAAATACGAAATAGAGTCCAATCGGTAAAATTTCGAGCCTACTTGTGAGGCACTCGAGGCCGCCGCTAATCAAAATAGAGGAGATCGTCGTAACCTAACGAATCTTCGCCGCTCGATCGAGCTACTTTTTCTGTGAAACCACGGGGTAAAAAAGGGATTCGTTTCAGTAAATCACGAGCGATTGATTATTCCGAGGACACGGGACGTCCTTCGTCCCGATCGATGTACCAACGTTCTCTCCTCCTCCTTTTTTCTCCTCTCTGCCGTTTAATTGCGTTTCGTCCCTGTTCCTTCCCTGGGTCCGCCACTTTCGGCTCGAGGTCGTACTCTCGATTCTCGGAATAATTGAGAAATTAGCTCGGTTAACAGTCTCCTCCGTTATCACCGATAATTCGTCGTTCTCTCTCTTCTTCTTCGCGTGTACTTTCGACCGATCACACTTATCATTGCTATTATTATAATCTATAAAGGACACGCGACCGAGCTGCTAAATGCACGATCATTGATTGTAACCGATTTTACAACTTGACACGTCGAATGGTGGTTCTCTTCATTCACGTGTGACTTTGTTCGAAACAATGCACGGATGTATTTTGAAACGAATTTGTGAAGAGGAGGCGACAGTTTCGAACGACACGTTAGTTTGTTGAATTCGGTCGAAGTTTAAAATTTACTCGACATTGCAGAGATTTCGGCACTTGTTGATATAATTTAATATAGACTATTACGGTTGGATGAAGGTCCCAGCGGTGCAAATTGGCCAAATTTTTCAGCGAATTATGCCAGCTGCATCACCTTGGTGAGCAAGTGGCCATCTCTCATATACCTATAAAGTCTGTTGAATTAACCCATCAACCAGGTTGCTTTATAACCTTGTTAACAGTCGCATGCACTTAACCCGAGAGTACCTCAACAAATGCTATAATAAAATCCTCCTTTATTCACGTCATAAAGCAACAAACTGATAAATCGAAGTAACACTCTCTGCAGGTATACCATAATTATAAGTACACTCCTGGTCATAAGTAAGAGAAATCATGAAAATTCGATTTCTCCACCAAGTGCTATAGCAGCCACCTGAATACCTAACTCAATCTCTTCGTTGAAACGAAATTTCCAATTGAAACGAAAGTTTCTCTCAAACCCCACATTCAACGAAGTTATTAGTCGTTATATTCTGCAAAACTAATCTAAATTAATTAATAAATCTAATCTAATATCTAACGAAACGAATTCTTCTTCTGGAAGGGATGAGCAGAACGACCAAAGTGGAAATTCCAGGAATCGCGACCGTAACAGAGATAGCCCTGATTTCTCGAAGAACAAAGTGTCCAGAATATTTCAGCGACAAAATAGAAAATCTACAGCGACGTGAAAGCTACTCGCGTCGAAACAAATACCCCGTTCGAGCGTTATACCTGTCGATACTTCTAAACAGTAGTGTACATGTTGCGTGTCCAGTTGTATACTCCGTCCAATTTAAGAATAACCTCGCTCTGGGACCGATTTTCGTCCGTTCTGCGCAGTTCCCCGCAGTTAGACAGAGAGCGTAGCAGAGAGTAAGACGGAGAAAAACGTAGGCGGTTAAGTGGGGGGTTTGGACGTTCTAGCCCTGCCTTGGGCACGTCCCATGCGCGAAGCGAGGTTATTCTTAAATTGGACAGAGTGTAGCATCCGTAGGAAAATCAGCGACGAGAAAGGAAGCTGCATCGACTGTTTCTTTCTGCATTTCAAGCTTGTCGAAGCCACGGCGAGGAGGAAGGCACAGGTTGCAACTGACCTCGAGATCCTTTTGAAAGACGAGCAGAGACGAGAGTAATGTCAATGTCACCACTTTAGGTGTACCAGTTGCTTCCAGGGTGTGGTCCCCTCCTACGGGTCGACGACTCCCTACCAGATTCACCATATATAAAAGGGGGCAGCGTGGCTCGACGGGGCAGCACATCAACGTTGATACTTTAGGGCGAATACTGGTTGGAAAATTTCATCGAATCAGCCAGCAGCGCTTTTTCAACGTGTTTTAACCATGAAAACGATAGTAAGTATGAGTGTCGAGGATGTTCGATTTTGTGCGGTGGTAGTTTCGATGGTGAAAAGATGATTTCTGAGGGATGTGCCCGAGGTACGGGGTTTGAGAGACAGTGAAAAGAAGATTGGGCTGAGATTGTGTTAAACAGACGAGGATTGAGTTCTGATTATTACGAAGTTTGGTGACTTATCTGGTCGTACTGTTTCGATAGTTTTCCACTCTCATTGCAATTTTTCTTCCCAGATTTTGGTTTACACTTTTCGACAACTGAAATTTTTCTCTCTTATTTTTCTTTCACTCGACAAATTTGGTTCTATGTTTCAAGTACCGAAGTGTTTTTTTCTTTTTACGCTTTTTTTATTTGCTCGATGTTCTCGTATTATTTTCGGAATTGAGCAACTTTTCGTCTCGTTCCCGGAATGTGATTCTCTATTTTTTCTTCTTTTTTTTTTCAAAATGCTCCAATTGTTATTTTCTTTCTTTAGTTTTGGAATTCGGGGATTTTTATTTTTTTTTTAAGATTTTTGTATAAATTTACCTCGTGGAAGTTGCGCGGAACACTTGCGACGACAATAGGAGAAATGATCGAAACCTAAATTCTCGGTTATCTTGAAAGAGAGGAAGTGAAAATTTGGAATTTTTTAAGACAGAAATAATTTTTGGAGTAATTCTAATTAGTCGAAACGTGAAAATGGCGGTAGAAAATTTCGATGAAGCTACTACTAGAAAACCTCTGGAAAGTGTCTTCGAAAACTAAGAAAAATTGGCCAATATTTTTAAATTCTGAATTTTCGTGGTCACAATTGTGGCAATTGTTGAAGAAGAATCAACAATCTTGGGATTAATATTCCAAGTGAAAAAGGAAGACTTGAAGTTACGCACTTTACAGGACAATTATACCTACCCTATAAATTATCATTATTTCTGAGTAATAAATTGGTATATCGAACTGTATCGACATAATTACACCAGTCCTTCAATTTACGCGGTACTTTTCATACGGGTCTTTTTTTTTTTATTTATGGTAAATTATCCCCTCCGTCTGCACGGTATCAATTTACGCGGTCAGGAAACAGCTTGAAAATGTCAACAAGATTTAAAATAATGTTGCAGCGAATATCAGGAAATTGATGAAAAATTAGCAAAAGATAAGATTGAGGAAAAATCACGCAGAAACATAAAAATTACCGATGAAAATGAAGTAGAAATTCGAAATATTTCAAACGATGAGCATAGTGACTTTGAGCCAATTAAAAAGAGAAGGACGATTGTTTTGAATTATAATACAGATAGTGAAACTGAATAAAATCTATTTTGGTTTACGGAATTATCATTTTTTTTTTTTTTTATCAATCTATGTGAAATAAATATTTTTACAACTTATACCAACTTTTTTTTTCTACCGACAGACTCTACGCATACTCCGAACGAATTTACGAAATTGTAATTGTAACATCCAGAATATTAATAATAATGTTTAAACTAACAATTATGTCGATTCTTCGCTGAAATGTTAGGCACGTTAAATGTACATTAGGAAATCAGAAATCGTTCGTTGAAAAGAATGAAAGAAAAAAATCTACATGTGTTGCTATTAATGTTTAACCAAGTTTCCCTTGTCATTGACACACTAACATCCCACATTTCTTCAGAAGCCTCGTTGCATAAGTGTCCACACCTCCACACTCACTGAATCAAACCGACCATTAAAAAATTCCTTCTACTCGGCACTATATTCTTCCATCAAAGATGGAACCGCAATTTCTGATACAATTATAGTTAAATTCCAAACCATTTTTCTCTAATTTCAAAATTCTTTTCTCTGCCCAACGTATACTCGTTTCAGCAACTTATAATCCAATTACCTTCCTTATGCTTCAAGCTACTAAAAACTGCAACTTCAACACCTTCCATGCTTATTATACATTAATAGTAAATATATTTTTGCGACACTCAACACATCCCAGAGTATAAATAACTCTTTCCTCTGTTCATACTCTTTCACCAAGCTCTAATTTCCTTACTCTCGTCTTAAAGTCTACAAGACCACGACAAAAAATTCTCTATTTCCCTTAAAACTCTCAACAGACTACCCTACTGTTTAAACGCTTCAAGTTCTCTTTAAAAAAATCCAAATTCTCTTCGAAATTACAGATCATCCTCGTCTCAATTTGCAGTCTGGCCATCGCTGAGCCAGGATATCTGGGTCCAGTGGTGCCTTACGGCCATCTTGGTGTACCCTTGGCCTACGATGGCAGAGTGTTGGACACGCCAGAGGTTGCAAGGGCAAAAATGGCGCACCTCGCGACCCAGGCGTACGAGGCGGCCAGGAACACACTCGGTTACGCTCAACTGCCCACTCTGATCCGTGTGTACACACCTGCCGCTGGCGCGCCCATCGGCGCCGACGGCCGCGTCGTCGACACGCCTGAAGTCGCGGAAGCGAAGGCTGCTCATCTCACCGCTCACGTGCTGGTAATTGCGAGCAATTAGGCTCTGAAGGCCTGACAATGCAACAGTTAAACGCTTTACAATCTGTCAGGGAGAGTCTTTTATTGAGGTTAGGTGTTTTTTTTTGTTTATCTTTCTTACTTAGGAAAAGAAGTTCGAATTGATAAGAATTCGTCGATTAGAAAAAACTTCTAAAAATTTTTAAGCAATTTCTGTGGTGCGATTCGTTTGATGAACTTGAAATTTGGTTTACGGGAGATTTTTAGGGATTTACGAGGGTTTAGGTTATAACTTTTTCCTGACGATTTGGAGGTATCGGTGGATTGTTAGGTATGAGAGTGTCATTTATCGCTGAACAGGTTACAGAGTTTAGGAAATAGATTATTTATTGAGAATTTTTGCATCCAAGGATGTTAGGTAGGGTTTATTAAACTTCAAGAGATATTACTTCTTTTTTTTACTACTTTTAGACTTGTATCTATTTTTAATTGTCAAAATATTATTGTCATTTATTTTGGACAATGTATACATTGAAGGAGGCTGCAAAGAAGATAGGACTTTATCCATATGGTGCTCTGGCCTACACGTCCATACCTTATGCCTATGGCCACGCATATGGAGCCCCTCTTGGCCCCGATGGTAGAGTGGTGGATACACCGGAAGTCGCAGAAGCAAAAGCAGCTCATTTGGCCGCGTATCAAGCAGCGAAAATTGCTGGAAAACTTTGATTCCCTTTAACAAAGATATTTAGAAGAAGAAATGACGCAACAGTACATAATAAAATAAATTGTGAATATTTTGTTCGGTACTTAGATTATCGAGATTGCAAAGTGAACGAACGAGGGAAAATTATTAATTATTTTCGCTTTGTACGTTTTCATTAATAGTAAAAAATGAAATTGAGGTTAAATGTTGTACCAGTCACTAAGAAAAGGAAAAATGTGCCATCTTTGTACGGATCTGACGTGTAAGAATTTAATAATAAATGTTTTTTTCTTAACACAAAAGGAGTAATATTTGCCCCCTTCTTTTATTTTCGAAGTTTGCAATAAATGGTCACATTTTGTAAAATATGTTTTATAAATGTACGTAATAATATGCTAAATGAAATGTGATGTGAAATAATGCAAGTAATATGAATCATATTGAACTTTATTTATTGTTAAAAATAAATTGAAATTCTAGACTACGACAGAATTGCATTTAATTGGATCTATTTCACAGCTCTGCTTAGCTCTTCCCAATTCAAGAGCTTTGCGCGCCATCATTAGTGCACCTATTCTTGTCGTATTTCCACCAATAAATCGCTGCATGTGTACAAAAACAGCACCTTCAATTCCACAGACGTTTACTAGTGTTTCATTATGTAAACCTGCCCATTCTTCTGGCAAAAACATCCTATAAAATTACATCATTTATTAACATGTTGACCGTCGAGCGAAATTTGTTGTCTATCTCACAGCGTCGCATTTCTTCATGCGTATAGTTTACTTCATTTTTTGTGAGTCATATATGTACATTCTTTAACTACTTAACTTCTAATGGTGTATAACATAAAATTGTAAAATCCTATCATTAACTGTCAATAATTGACACGCGATTGCATGTGAATGCCATGCGCTGGTCAACGTCGGCTGACGCGGCGGTCAAAGTGTTAACAGCACTAGAAATTATTCAGTTGCCTCTTGAATAAATACCTGCAAACAAAGCTGCCGGGTTCTACTCTAACAGCTTGGATTCTGTATGAATCGCCTTTAAAAATTACATACTTCAATAAGGGTTGTACATTTAATTCTTTTTCTATCTCAAAAAGATGGTCAATCCACGGTATGCTTTGCTCAAGTTCTATAATTTCTCCACTGAGGTCAACCTGCAAATATTTATCATAGGTTTTTCTTAAGAATCTTACCAAGTTTTTATAATGAAAAAAGTATCAGTAATGACTTTTAATGTCACAAATTTCCTTTCTATATCATATGTATACAAATGAAATATAGAGAAAGAAACAATTGTTGCATAATATTGTACTAAGGTAACGCCCATGATACATTTTTACATAACCAACAATAGCCATGTATTCTAATGCTTGTACTCTATTCAACCAGTAATCATCATTCTATTCAAATCTATGCAAATATTACAGATGTACACTGATTTGTTTAGGTACCAATCACAATTTCATTATTAATTACAAATTGACAGTGATAAGTAAAGGACAATCTTTGTTACATTCACCTCAAAACGTTTTGCAATAGCATTCTCCACAATTGTTCTAGATGGTAACCAAATATACGCTGCAGAATTTACATGTTCAATAAATTCACGACCAGTTAATTCAACAGCTTTTAAAAATTGTTTGTTAGGATCCAAGTCCTTACTGTTCCAAGCAGGATTTAAATATTTTACACGTGAAGATAAATCAGTCTGGATATAATACCTAAGACAATGAAATATCTTAACAACTATCCTTAATGGTTCTGTAAACACAACATAATAATATGGAACACTTACAAAGGTTCGGCACAAATGGAAACTCCATTGTCAATGGCATCAATTTCTTTTATGAAATTGTTATAAATATGTTTAAAAAGTATCTCTACAGTGCTATCATCTATATGTGGAACTAGTTGTTTAATAATCTCATGACCAAAGTGGCAATAAATTAAACCTGCTGAGCTTAACTTTATTTGGCAAGTGTAATCTGGTTTCTTTATTACCGTACTCAGAGATTCTTTAAAGTCTCTAATTTATAAATGAAATAAGTATTACAATGCATATTTACTTGGTAATAAAATGAATAAATTCAAAATGTACCTCATATGATGATCATATCGATGCTTAGAGTGATCATATATGCTGCCAACATCAATCACAATATCGCAAGTATCCAGAATACAGTCATTGCGCGATCTAGAAATATATTTAATATTCTACACCAACACTTCAGCAAATACATACCTTGTTAACTTAGAAGATGCTTCAAGATTACTACTAATATTTCACAAGTTGATCCAAATGCTTGCGCTAAAAATCAAACATGGGACTAAGCTTCACAAATCTATCCTACCTCACGATATCTGCATCTTTGTATTGTGGTAACATCTTCAGCAAAGAACAAGCTAGTGCATCGTCACAGTGGAAAACACCATCGTGCGTTCCAATTTTTAAGCTTCCCGTCATTGTTACCAAATACCGCGACTTCGTTCTCACGTTATAGGTTAGGTTGTCTGATGAAGCAAGTAGCTTTATGAAATGCCCTATAATCGTACCAAAATTCCTTTTCGCCATAGAAGCATGAAGCTCATCAGTAATTCGATTATATTCTCACGATAAAGCTCGAAAACACGCAAGAAATACAATAAAAGCACTGAAGTCCCACTCAGTTCGATGCAGCCGGCTCAAATGCTTTACAAATCAGAAGATAAGTCGATCATCGTTAGTAATACGGTATATATGCATATGTGAAGAAAAGTAATAATAATAATTCCTCACGTATTTTATTATTTTAGGCTACAGTAATATTACGATACTGTGGCGTATAGTTTTAAAAATTACTCTATTTACAGTAAGGGTGTCCGTGAACGGAGTTAAATTATTTCGAACCGCATCCACCGATGCTGAAATTATCGATCGGTATGTATTTAGGAACGAAGATTACATTATCCGTTTATTAAATTCGTGGAAATAGAGTGTTTTATAAAAATCTGCTTGCCACGCTCGTTTCAGAAGTTAAGAATAAATGTTCGGTATAAATACATATCAAGGGGGAAAAGTTGGAAATAGTACATCAGGACGTTCTAAGTCACGTAAAACGTCAAATAAATAACAAAAAAAAAAGAAAGAAGATGAAAAGGGACCATCATCGTTCTGGTAAACGACCACGAGAACAATCGATTGCACGTGGTATACAATTATTATTAACACAGTATAGGGCTTCTTACATCGATAATGTGTACTCTACAAGAGGAACACATATATACTTACGTATATATACAAAGAGACCATCGAATGTATAGACGCTGTGTGAAACCTTTTTCCGAACGTCCTACGCATTTATCGATCGCGTTATCTATCTAAAGAAATCGTTAACACGAAGCGGAATAAGTTCACATGTAAAAAAAAAATATATATATGTATATATATTT